TGTTTTGCATAAAAAATATGGGAAAGTTAAGCATGGTTCTTCCGTCGTTGAGTCAGTGCAGTGAAAATGTTCTCAATGCTTAGACAAACTCTCTTTTTTTATGATGTAGACACAAAGTGAACGTGACGAGTTGTATGGCAAATTTGTCAAGGCTATACATGAGGTTCAACAGAAGAGCAACTTCAAAAACTTGCTTCTTGAGAAGAAACTGACAGCTCTGGCTGATACACTTGAGAAAAAGGTACATGCTAAAAGATCAGTGACAAGACATGGCGTAATTGTCGTTTTCTTGTCTTCCTTCTACAGAAACAAAGATCCGTAATTGTTTACACCGCTAACACATTTTCAATTCAATTTCTGAGTGTTGAAAAAGTTTTGCTGTTTGAATACTCATTGGTAGAAAGACACTGGTGATTTTTACTCTCTTCGCGTGTTTTTCTTGTAGTTCCCCTATTTTTTACCAAACAAACAATGCGGCTGTTCCTTGCAACTGAGCCTAGGAGTTTTTTTTCTTGTGTTCATGAAAGTACAGTACACTTCTCATCACATTAATTATGGTCTACCTAGCTTACTTTACGATCTTTTTACAGGAAGCGCAGCTGAACGAAGTGTTGTCAGCATCCAACTTGGATCCTACTGCATTGACTGTTGTAACCAGAAAACTTGAGGTGAGCTCCAATAACTTTTTATTAAAGTGGTTTGCTACGTCCTCCATTGTCTTAAAGAAACTCGTTACTCGTGCTGACGAAATCTTCTTAACTTCTCTACAGAAAATTGTTGGCCTGATATTTTTTTCTAATTATTTGTTTTCCGTGTTCGAGGAACTTTTTCCGCCTTGTTTTCTTCCAGGATGTTTTAGACTCAAAGAACAGTGCCATTAAAGACTTACAGTACGAATTGGCACGTGTTTGCAAGGTATAGTACAATACTTGTTGATTAATTTGTAACTAAGTTACCTGTTAAACCTTTTTGGCGGAGTGTCTCGAAAAGATTCGAGTTGGGCATCTTTTGTGCTTACAAAGCTGTGCTCTTAGAAGAATCACTAAGTGCCTGGAGGATCTTGCCCCAGAAATCTTGGCTGCCTGACTCTTAACAGCTGTCATTAAGTATACTCGCCGAAAGGCAGAAGTTGGTTGCCTGTGGCACAGTAGGTCAGCTAGAACAGAGTAAACCCTGAAGTCTTAGGGTAAAAGAGGGTTTCTTGATGCAATTTTTCCAGAATGGCAAACTGTTTAAAGTTTCCTCCTCTCCCCTCCCCTCCCAGTCACCCCTTTCTAACAGAGAGAGCTTATTAGCAGGCCATTAGTTCCCATGCAGGTACAATTGTTATCAAAGACTGAAGATTTAATTGAAATGTTTGGTTTGATTTCAGGCTCATAATGATCTCATCCGAACATACGAAGCAAAGCTCCAATCATTTGGTGTACCGACCGAAGAACTCGGGTTCAAGCCCCTTGAGAGCAACGTCGGAGGACAACAACTCGGCCGAGGCCCGGCGGGTCTTGTTGCGGCACCAACCTAACCTGATAGAACGCTTTTCTTCCACTGTGTACATGTTAATTTCTGAGACCATTTCATTTTAGCTCCGACACATGAATAACAATTTGTAAATAGAATTCTAGCCACGTAAGTAGAGTCTTCAAGAGAACTGTCTTACTTATTCATATTTTTATCGTGTGCATTTCCTTCAATGGCGTTTCGCACGGAAAAACTCATTTTATACGTTTTCTTGGAATATTTTTGTTTTGGTTTTTTCATCTAAGTTCTTTGATGTACAGTGCTTGTGTTCCTGAAAATGCTGTCATAGCAGTTTTCATAGCCGTTTTCACTTTAATCTCGATCTATTTAGCATATTGTCTTGTTGAGAATTTGGTGAATTTTCTCTGTATAAATAAACTGTTATCATTCGTCCAAGCGACTGAACCATCAGTTGAGAAAGATTCATTTTCTAAGTGTACTCCTGTATCAACAAACTGAATTAAGCGTACTGCAAAAATTATGGCGAAAGTTGTAAACTTGGAAGAAATTCTAATTAAAAATATTGATGAATATCCAATTTCGTTTTCATTAGCGTTATTAAAGAGGGTGGTGTTTGAGTTGTGGCGCCAGTTCGTCTGGGCAAATAGAATCTTTAGAATTCGGCTAGAGTTCCCTTTTCGTATTCATTATTTGTTAAAAGTTTGAATTCATGCGCATCTTTGTCCTAATTTTTATGTAATCTTAAGAAAACATCTCTATATTACGAACTTTTGTTGACGCCGAGAAAAGCTACGAGACCCTATATTGGGCCATTTTGTGGGCTTATTGTTTACCCTACAAGTACTTGACAACTTATTTTAATTGTGATGCAATATATCAGTTATATGTTGGCTGTGCACGAAAGCTTTCTCGAACTTGCTTCATTCCTTATAGTATATATTTAAAAAAACCCTGTCGAAATACCAAGAAAATGTTAGTTTTTTTTAGAAGCTTTGGAGGCAAACAAATCGAAACGTGACGCGCGGAGACAATCTTGGAACCTCAGCAGACATTGATATTTATAATATTTGCCCATCAAAATAAGTTGTTGGCGGTAAGGTCAATATTGCGTCACGGAAAAAAAAAAAAGAAAAAACTCACTTTCGTCCGTGAGAAAGGAAGGGCAATACTGTATTTAAATAATCTCTTGCACATAAAAACCTGGTTTGACTGAATCGACCGAAAAGAACAAGTGGTTCAGTACCGTGGACGACTTAAAGTCAGGGGAAAAGGCGATAGCTCTAGTAGACTATGGAGCAAACAATGAGTTGCTGTTGTCAGCTTTTTTCGTAAAAGGAAATTTATTTTGAGACGTTGCACTACGGTTCCGCCCTAGCGTTTCTAGGTTTCATTTTCGAGTTTTAAAATCGGAGCTTGACTCCCTGTCTAAAATGAACAATCGAAAGCCGCCGTTTTCTGTAAGTCAAATGAGGTTTGAAATAAATTGAGAGGTAAATGAGGGGCAAACAATAAATTAGGTGAATTTGTTTGTATAATTTTCTTTTAGGTGATTTCACAAATTTAACACTTGTTAGATTCGCAGTATGCTTCCGTCGTGGAAAATTCAATGCTTTTGTATATAATTTTTCTCACTTTCGAGGTTTTTATTTCGTTAACAACGCAGGCAATTCGTAAAGATGCGGTTTTTCTGATTCAATTGTACGAGTTCCTAATTTACAAAATCACCTTCGGATTCAAAGGAAAAGTTGCATCTTTTCCATGGCGCTGCCGGTATAATTGCGTGATAAGTTTTGTTCTAAGAAACAATAACTACCTTGTGAGTGAACTTCAGTTCCACTCTTTTTTCAAGTTCCCTTCACTCTACCCCTCTCTTTAAAAAAAAAGCCCCTTTGATTGGTTCTGGTTCGAAGAAAGACAGATTCTGCTCTTTTTCCTCAAAGATTTCCAGGTGATAAGATAAATCAAACTTGTCTAAACTGGCTGCTTTTGAACGGAATTGGAATTAGTTCGACAGGTAAAGTCCACGCTTCGTTTAGTTCTTTGTTTTGCTAATCTTAATTATCCAAAGGTGAGTTTGTGTAATAATCACGTGGAAAGTCCGTGGCGCGGCACCAAAGCCGGCAGCACACGGGTTTTCCACGGACTTTTGACGACCAGAAAGTACAGAGTACCTTGTTTATCTTGTTCATGAGAATAGCGTTTGAAATTCAGTTGTATCTGTTAGCTTACGAGTAAAAGCAACGTTATGAATAGAACAGCTCATTTGTAAAAGAAAGAAAAAATGAGGTTCTGCGATAAAAGACAAATCGATTTCTTGCAATCTTAAAATTTTCGAATCTTTTCGCCTGACTTTCCCGCAGAGATCCACACATAAAATTATTTCGCCTTGGAAGCTAAAAATCCTCGTCAATTATGATAAAAATTAATAATTTTAGTAAACTTGTTATCGGACATATTTTTTTCTACCGGTTTGAATTTTGTTCGCAGATTTTTCAAAACTCACATCCGGTTATTTTCTAGGTGAAGTAACAACGCAACACTGTTCGATTGACGACGTTTCAAGTTCGAAAAATGAGCTAAAAGACCAGATAAAGCAAAGCAGGCCGTTTTGTTTTTCAAAATGTGCACGTGACATGGAGAAAGCGAAATATCATGAAGGAAGCAAAAATCTTGCTCGTGCAATAATTTTTAATTTTAAACCTTGGAGTTCATAATTTTCCGCCTGGAGGGCGGGGAAACCCCAGATGGTTTCCCTTATTGCGATGATTGGTTGATAAATTAAACACGCTAATCTGATTGGTCCGCACTTTGCCCAGCACGTGAAGTGGGAATGACCTTTTGGTTCGAAGTCCATTTCAACGAAGTTCGCCGTAAAAATTTTGTGCAGAACAACAAGATCTCCGTGGACGAACACTGTTTAGTCAGTTGTGTATCAAATTTCTATGGAAAGGTAGCGGGAAATATCAGAACTTCGACGTAGAATGCGCTGTTACGTGTCCCTGCCTGACTTTGTTCTTACAGAGTTCAATTTTAGAACTAAAGCGATAGGACAAGACCTTTTAGATGAGGTGCGTTGTTTTGTTCTGCTCTGGGCTCAAAGTCCAGCAATTGCTTTCAAAGTGTATTTTCTGATGTAACTTTTTTCCTTCGCGTTTATTCATCACGATTCTCTCACTTCTCTTCCTTAGGTGTGCAAAAGACTTGGGATAATTGAAGTGGACTATTTTGGACTTCAGTTCTCGGGCCCAAAGGGCGAAACACTTTGGCTCAACACTAGAAATAGAATTCGACGTCAAATCCCTGGTGCACCACCATACCGCTTGCAGTTCCGTGTAAAATTTTTTGTTCAGCCGCAGTATCTACTTCAAGACACCACCAGGTACAATCATAAAATGTTTTTCGAGTTTATGAATCATTGTAATGGTCTTAATTCTCGTTATCATTTCTTTTGGCGCCATCTTCAACAGTAGCTTACTTGTCGTGTTGAGTACAATGGTGTCAGCTGTATACTTAAAATGTTACCACTTTTTTTTTTCTTTGAAGGCATCAGTATTTTCTTCATTTGAAAAACGATTTGGATGAAGGGAAAATTATCCCAGATCCGGAAAAAGCGGCAGCAGTGTATGCGTTGATCGCACAAGCAACCATCGGGGACCATGGCGATTCCTACTCTCCGTGCGATTATTGTCAGGCATCAGAAATTGAATCACAGTGGAGCTCGGAGTTTCGCAGCAGCGTTTCAGAGGAACATGCCAAGCTCAAAGGCCTTCGATCGCCAGCAGCTACGCAATTTTTCATCAAAGAAATGTCTCTGATGGAAAATTATGGAATAGAGTATCATCTTGCGAAGAACGATTCAGGAAATACTCTACACATCGGTGTTGGAAGCGAGGAGATAAAAATATTTGATGCCGACTTCAACTTTGTTGAAAGGTAGGTGTTATGCTGATTAACTGTTATCATGAAATATTATTGGGTAAAAAAGTTTTTCAGGCATAAAGTGGGATGTTTGGAAACAAACAACAGCCCTTATGTATTTAAAGTTTTCTTTTCATATGCAATTAAACTTAACTTGTGCCATTAGAATTTATTTGCTGCTACACTGTATATTCGACTTGTTGGGTAACAAAACGTTAAGCTTTATCTTGTGTATTTTATACTAATTTGAGGAATTTCCAATGCTTAAAACCGAATTTGAATTGATCATGGAAATGTTACGTCAAAAGGCCTGTTTACGCTGCATGTATGCATGAGAGACAAGAAATACCCTCAAGTAATTTCCTTTTATCGAGTAGAGATCTAATTTCTTTCGGATATGTAATATGTGAACCACAACACGTCTTCATTTTGATTTATTGTTTCCTTTTTGAAGTTTTTTACCGCGGTAATCAGTTTCTGTCACCAGTGAACGATTCTTACTCGAAAGCAATATGTCTGCCTGAACCTTCGACCATCAGAACACCTTAGTACTCTCTGATTTGTCAAAGAACTGCGAACTATTTTTTCAATATGGTACGACTAAGTTTTTGGGAAAAAGCCCTATCGATAAGCTATCAATGTTTTCGCGAGTCCTTTATAAAGTGAGAGTTATCACAAGATACGTGATGTTTACTGATTAAGTTTACTCTTCTTGCTTTGAGCCTAGCCTCGTGAATTTAATCGTGAACAGCCAGATAAAATGAACCACATTACCGAAGAATACAATTTTGGACAATAAAAGTCACTTTACTCATTCATCCACTTCAGTTGCTCTCCATTAAAAAAAAAGGGTTTTGATCCGATGAAGAAATTGCAATATTTTTTATAGCGTTCAACGTGACCAGTTTGTTTATTCAGTATCTAACCAAATGTCATCACATTTTAAATGAGGGCTTTAGCTAATTTTTTTTTGTCACAACCGTGTATTAACAGCATCATTCTCTTTGTGTGTCTTACAAAGTACATGTAGAAGACATTTATTAGGGCAGTAAGATTTATCTTGGACCAAACAAAGTGAAACAAGATTTGCATGTATTAAATTCAACTTTGACCTTTCACACAATTGATGAAAACACTACTTTAGTGTGCTCAACCTGATTACCATGTGTTGTGCTTGCATTTCAAGTTGTAGTTTCCCTTTGTGAAGTGGAAAAAAATGATCCAAGTATCACATCCACCTGGCAATTTAAATTAATATCTTGAATGTTGTTTTCTGGATAATGTATTGATACAGTTATTCACTTTTGGGTATTAAACAACTAAGTAACAATTGAGTTGCTACTAAAGATTGTAGTGGCATTCCATCTTATTTAGATGTAAAATCAAGTATTAAGTTTTCAAAACTTTACTATCAGGTTTTTGTACAATGGCCTGAAGATGGCAACTCATGTCAAGAACAATCTTTACTTGAGAATTAGAAGTGATGATGGTGAATCTTTGTTGGCATTTGGACTCTCCAGTCAGGAAGCTGCCTGTGCTTTGTACAGATCCATTACAGAGTATCATACATTTTACCGATGTGAAACTGTACGGAATGTGGTCACTGATCAATTCACACGAGACTTGAAAGAAACCCTAGTTTCTTTCTTTGGAGATGAGGAATCAGACAAAAAGTACATCTTTGATGTACAGAGGACTTCAAAGGAGGTGTATGATCACTGTCGGAGAGTTTTGTATAAGCGAGGATGTGATCCTATTCAAAATCCTCCTCCAGAGTGTCAGGTTGAATTGGGATCTGAAACTGGTGATGCAAAAGTTGCTCAGCTTCAAGAAAAGTTGACCAAGATGGAGGACTCGTTGAAGTGTAGGATCTGTATGGATGCACAGATTGACACTGTGTTTTGTCCCTGTGGACACTTGGTTTCTTGCAGTGTCTGTGCAGCAAATGTAGAACTGTGTCCGATTTGCAGAGAACAGATCCAGAAAGCTCAACGTGTCTTCTTTCCAGTCACAGTCAGCTGAAAGAGTGGAGAGGACACTTGGACAAGTGCTGATAACATTTGACACTTTGTCACCTCAAGAACCAAGAATTTGCCTCAACATGATATGAAGTTACAACAAATTGTCCAAGTAGACCCTGCTAAAGAGAGAGCACCTTTTGCTGGCATTGGTGGAACAGAACAGCTTTTCTTGCCACAAGTCTGGTGTGTTGGAGGACAAGAACATTTGGATTGGTTTAAAACTCTCAAACCTTGAAAAGAGTGAAGAGAGTAATTATGATAAAAAGGAGAAGTGTACACAATGCTTTCTAGCATTGTGGTCCTGATGGACAGACTAAGGTAAAAGTATTTTTGAAAGAGAGAATAATTTTGTAAGGTTTTGAATAATATGGTTTTGAGAGAACGTTGAAAAGATGTATTTATAACTTGAATTTATTAGTCTCGGAGACTTTTTTATGAGAAGAAAAGAACCATGGGTCTTAAATTAAATGTTTGTTGATAATAAGTACCAATGATTTTACTGCTATTAATAGAATTACCATAGTTTCTGTACTGCCCTTCTGCAAAGTTATAAGACCACAGAAGGAAAAAGTGACAAAATGCATGTGTTTGTGGATTTAAAGCAACATAAACAAATTTTTAATTTTGTTAGAGTGAGCTTGTTACGAGTTACACTGGTTTGAGTTGCATTACTTTGCATTTGTCTTTGCTTAGTCTGAAGCTCTGAAGTGTAAAATGTTTCCTGCTTTTACCTGAATCCAGGTACCTAGTTTAGGATAAGTGTATTTTGATCTGTACATTTAGAATTGTATATAATATGTACACACTTGTTGGACTTTGGTGCATGTATTAATCAGGTTTGGCTCTTGTGATCAAGCTCAACACACTCTATATGGAAAATCAAGTGCTGATGAAATGTTTGAGAGAGTAATAATTAGTTAAGATTCTAGAATTTTATTTCATTGCGTTGTAACTTTACGTTGCAGTAACATCACAATTTGAATTTTTTTTTAATGCGATTGGCCTCTAAGTCTTTAAAGCATTTGTGCTTCTTGATGTTTTATTGAGTTATGGCAAACTTCACCTGTAGCCTACTGTCTTTTAGAACCCTTCTTTTTTTCTTTTCTTTTTTTTTTTTAACCATGCACAGCAAACCTCAAACACAGTCAAAGATAATTCAGTCATCACTTATCTTGCAATATGGCATAACAAGATATCTTGTCATTTTTCATCCAGTACCTTGGGTACATTATTTGTCCTTACAGCATGTTATTTTTTTAGTTTTCTAGTTAAGTTCCTTTTTTTAGGTCTGAAATGTGATGCAGGTTCAGTGCAGTTCAGCAGATTTTACTTAGAGCATGCTAAAGTACCTCAAGTGCAACAAATGATTCTTAAAATCCCATGTCCTTGTCAACCTTTTTCTTGAAAATCTGAAATTACAATGTTTTGTAGAGTCTTCAGACAAACAAAAAAATTAAAATTTTGGTGATGTCTATGTTTCCTCTTTTTATAGCCCATGGATATTTTGAGATCTTGTTTTTGTTGTCAAGGAAATATCAGCGAGAATTAAAAATACTTTTATTTTAAATGGAAGTTGTAAATAACTTTTGATTATTACAATAAATTAACAGTTATCACATCCTCTTGTGTATTGGTTCTTTCCAGTATAACTACATTTAGTTCAACGCTTTTGCTCTCAAGATGTTCCTTACAATTGCCCATTTCCGAATTACCCTTAGCCTCTTTTTCAAAACGAGGCTTGGTGCTCAACCATTCTTGTGAAAATGAGTTGAATTTTCATGTGAATGAAAACTGATTATCGTATGAAAGGATGAGCACCAGGACTCGTTTTGAGAGTGAGGCCAAGGGTAATTCGGAAATGGGCTATTCTCCTTACTTTCTGCCATAGAACTCTTATGGTGTTGGTTTAGAGAATTTGATAATGGATAAATGGATAATCTCCTAATTGATATTGGTCTTTATTGTAATCACTTGGTGTTGATATTGTTAGGCCAAGTTGATATTGTAAGGAGAAATTCTGTCATGGTCACTCGTGGGAGTAAAGGGGTCAACACTATTGCTGGCGATGTCTGCATCTATTTGCAAAGCCTTTAGAGAGAATGGTGCAACAGGGGCTGCTACACTGACTATCCCTCCCAAGAAAATTGCAAAGTGGATCCGGACTCTACGAGTTGTATGTGTTCTCACTATTCAAGTTCCAAGGGGGGAAAGTAAATCTGTGTTAAAGGGGCACTATCTAATACGGTATTTTCAAGGGCTTGATAATTGATGACCAAATGGAATTTTGTAGTCTTTACTAGGTGAAATTTTAGAAGAAAGATTTTCCTTTAGGTGGCTGGTACGAATTACGGTCTTTTTGTCCAAGTCTTTTCGTACAAAAGTATTTTCACTAAGTCTGTTCGTTTACTTGTTAGGTCTTCTCGAAGCAAATATATAACTTTTAGAAGGCTAGATAAGGTTATAGAAAGAACTTGTTGCGAGCCATTCACGTAGTGATGTTACACTTCGTTGCCCTTTTACGCTCAATAGACGCTTAACAACAAGCCTAATATTCTCATTTCTTTCGCGTGAAATAATTAAACGGCAAGCAAGTCTTTACTTTTGCCACTATATAATAAAGTATATTGCGTTACAAATTCATTTATTCTTTGTGTATTTATCGTAAACTTCACGACGTTGAATTCGTAAACGTAGATTGGTGACTAAAAGTATCGGTACCAAAATGGCGGCGGCTCGCAACAAGTTCTTTCTATAGCCTTATCTAGCCTTCTAAAAGTTATTTATTTGCTTCGAGAAAAGACTTCACAAGTAAACGAACAGACTTAGGTGAAAATACTTTTGGACGAAAAGATTTGGACGAAATACTTTTGGACGAAAAGACTTGAACGAAAACACTCTCTCACTTTACCTCACTGAAACCTGGAAGGAAGCCCTAGACACGAGATGGAAGGAAGCCCTAGACACGAGATGGAAGGAAGCCCTAGACACGAGATGGAAGGTTGGGGGTCCTCTTTATTGACTTCAGAAAAGCGTTTGATTCTGTGAATCACTTAATTCTTCAGCAAAAGCTTAAAGCAATGGGTGTCTCAGGAGACTTTCTGTCTTGGTTTACCAGCTACTTATGTGAGCGTCGCCAATTTGTCCAGTTATCTGGTATAAAGTCTGGACCCAGATTGATAAAATATGGTTTTCCACAAGGATCTATATTGGGTCCAAGACTATTTTCAGTTTATGCAAACGACTTTCTGGAGGCTTTTACTGATGGAGACCTATTCATGTTTGCCGACGATACCACCATCTTGACTATTGGTAAGGATATAGACGGTATTATAGTGGTTTTACAGTCGATTCTGGATCAAGTCCTTTCCTGGTGCAACTCAAACAGGTTGACTGCCCATGAGACAAAATCTGAGGCTTTATTGTTGTCGAAACATGATTTTATTGGTCCCTTGCCACTATTGAAATATGTCATCAAGTTTAAGTCATCATCTCAATGTCTCGGTGTTACCATCGATCAAAACTTATCATGGAAAGAACATATCATGGCCGTCTGTAAAACGTTTAACAAGAAACTCGCTATATTAAAACGTATAAAATTCCTACCTAAGTCTATTCTAGAGTCTATTTATTTCAAGACTATTATTCCATCTGTCTTGTATGGGATTGCTGTATGGGGCTCATGCTCACTGGTCTAGATGGAAAAAATGGAGCGTGTCCACCTGCGAGCTGCAAGGTTAATCCATAATCTGCCTAGGGACATCGATATGGACGACATGTGTAAGCTGAGGGGATGGTCCCCTATTTCATATTTTTACACGAAAAGGGTACTATCCATAACTTATAAATCATATTATGGTCTCTCTAATGACTACCTTAATAACTTAGTTTCGAAGCAGGAACACAGATACAATCTAACAAAGATTTTAAATATAAATATCACTGAACCAAAAACGGAAATGGGAAGACTATCTTTTAAGCATAGGGCAGCTATAGCTTGGAATTGTCTTCTAGATCGCATTAAGGAAGCTCCCTCTATTCCGAGTTTTCTGAAAGAATTGAATAAAAATAAGCACATTTTGATGAAAATATCATATACCAAAGAGTCATCCGTGATTAAAAATAAAGATTATGATTTTTTCTATTTTTAAGCATACATCATAGCTTGTGTGATAAAAACTTTTCTATTTGTATTTTCAGATAGGTTTATAGTAATAGCTTTAATGTTTACACACCTTGCATCCTTGTATTTTTATATTTATAGATTTTAAATTGTGCAATTGTGATTATAATGTTAATTTAGTGAGCAGGTCCACATCAGGACTTATGGTCTTGCCTATTTTAGTAACCTGCCTTAACAAATAAACTTGTTGTTGTT